TACCACATGGTAATTTTCCTCAGCACATCTTCTAATGTATCCAGAGGGCAGCTGCTCCCCCAGAGCTGTACAGACAGCTGAGGAGCTCTTTCACAGAAGCTCTGTGAAGGTAAAGGAAGGATAATCTGCAGGTGACTTGCTATGACCTCAAAAGCTTATTCACACGCAGCAAATGTTCAGGAGGAGCCATACTGGCTCCTTACCACATGGTAATTTTCCTCAGCACATCTTCTAATGTATCCAGAGGGCAGCTGCTCCCCCAGAGCTGTACAGACAGCTGAGGAGCTCTTTCACAGAAGCTCTGTGAAGGTAAAGGAAGGATAATCTGCAGGTGACTTGCTATGACCTCAAAAGCTTATTCACACGCAGCAAATGTTCAGGAGGAGCCATACTGGCCTGAGCAGGTCCAGACAAGAGTCACAGCTCTTAGCTTCAGCAGAAATTTGAGCCCAAGGGTACTCAACCAGGAAAGAGGAGGTGAGGCTAATAGCCTGGGCAGATAGGTCCACACACATTCTGTTTATCTTCCAGTCCACAAATTACACCAAGTGATGTGGAACAGCTTGCAGAGGGACAGGGGGAAAGAGCAGACAACTCAGTATTCAACAGTCCCCAGTACCCTCCCAACTGGTATTGAGCATATTGTTTGGATAATACCTAACTGCAGACTCAAATCCTCTCACACAAAGTTGAGTTAGTTCAGGTCTCCAAATAATCAGTGAACACCTGAGGAGTACAGGAAAATAGGATGTGAACATCATCTACTCCTTAAGCTGTCTTTTGAAAGGAGAGCTCCTTTGCTCAAAACTGAAGCATCTCCTAGGTTCTGATTTCAGGAGCTAGTTTCAAGTCATGAATCCCAAATGGACAGGTCTCTATAATACAGAATACTGGTCCACAAACCTTAAAAAACCCTGGAAATACAACAACCCCAAAAATAAACAGAACAACAACAAGAAAAACCCAAATCCACCAGGCCAATGTACTCACACTATTATCATTATTGGTATTTCTTTCCACCCAATACACACATTTTCAGAGACCTATTATGAGCACTAAACATGGGCCCATCCAACAAACTTGTATGTTGTGAATTCTGGTAGAGGCCTACACCCTCAGCAGCATCATTAAGTGTTGCAATTAGCAGATCCTCCTTGCCAGGCACAGGGGCAGAAGTATCACAATGTGCAGACAATAAATGGAAGTGGCAGCATTCAGCAAGGAGAGGGAGAGAAGATAGGATGCAAGTCATTCAGCTGAAAATACTGAGGAGTCAGGTGTGACAAAATCTATCCCTTTAAATGCAATAAACTCTAAATATCCATCCTTTCTCTACACACGATGCCAGAAAGAAAACTACATTGGCATTTTTTAAACAAGTAGTTTTCCTGCCTCAAATATGACCTCATAAAAAAAGTTATAAAGGTATAAACCATCCTTTCAAGCTGCCTAACACCAGCTTACGTTTCCTGTCATTGGAGGACAACAGATCTCACAGCATCACAAGATTCGCCACTGTTCTCTCTCAGAGAAGATTGCTCAGCATCTCCCTGTGCTTCTCAGCTGAAGCAGCATATAATAAAAATACCATGGCCAAGTTTTCACTTTAAACTATATTGCAGTCAAAAGGATACTCCTTATGTTGGACCTATCTTTCATGACTCTTTCTGCCATGGAACTTGGGCTTCCTTGTTACACTGCTTTCAGGTAAACCATACCTTAGACTTTTCAGAGAAAAGGTGTCATTTTGTTCTTTGTGAAATATCTTGCTTGATAAACAACAAAGCAATGTAAATATGGATAAACAAGCAGCACAGTAAGTAAAGACCTCACTGCGTTAGCCATTATGTGTTCATTTAGTTCCAGTTCATGACAGACAGCTCTCTCCTTAATGTCCTCAGAAACAGGACAGATATTCCAGAGCTTTACTGAGCAACCTCTTCTAATGCTTACCTACTCTTAGAAAAGCAGCAGTATTATTCGTAGGACAAGAACCCAGTTATATCTGGCTACAGGTTGCTAATGATTGTGTGCTAATTGCACACAATACTCTTCAGATGGCTACCAGCTGCAACATGAACACCATCTGTGTTTGACAAAGGGATGGAGAGCACAAGCAACTTGCTGTAGGCCTGCAGAGAAGACACCTCTCACCTGTGTGATATGCCTGGGAATGCAGGCAAGCCTCAGCAACCTCCGCTGGCAAATGGTTATACACTGCAGGTTTAAATTGGACATAAGAAAAGTTTTTTATTATGAGGGTGGCAAGATACTGGAACAGGCTGCCCAGAGATATTGTGGGTGCCCCATCATGAGGAGTGTTCAAGGTCAAGTCAGACAGAGCTGTGAGCAACCTTACAGCAGTCTGAAAGGAGCCTACAAGAAAGCTGGAGAGTGACTTTTTACAAGGGCTCGTGGCTGTAACTCTGAGGTGCAATTTTTCCTGTAAAGTCAAGCAAAACCTAGTATGAAAGATGTAATGAACATGACCTTGGTATTTTCTTTCAAGTGAGAGTGTACAATGCTAAAGATTTCCAGCTTCACTGATCACAAGCTCAACTCAATATGGCTCAGAGGAACAAGTGCTTTTGCCTCTCAAGAACATGCAGTGTTTACAAGACTATGTGCTTTCCCAGTCCATTTATGTAATTATTAGGCCTCGTCTGAGACTTAAGAGCAAAATAAAATCCCTTGGCTTTGCTTAGACAAGGAGAAACTGAATAGAATAATGAAACCTGTAAGGGCTGTAAGTTCACCTCTTCAGCTCTCCAAGCTGGTAGATCACGAGACAAGTATTTAGAACTAGCTCCTAAAAAATTTATAGATTCCTTCTTCAACCGTTCCAGAAACACAATCTTACATGTGAAGAATACAGGTAAGAGACAAGCCCAACACAGAACAGTGGCTCAAGTGGGCCTGTGGCAGATCTGGGGTCTCTGGAGAGTCAACTCACTCAACAGGCCCATGCTGCTTTCTGTAGTGAACACAAGTATCACAGTCTGGTTGTTCAAGTAATAACAAGTACTTGAAGCTGAAAAAGCTGTTCACAATAGTGATTCAGCATGCAAAACTCTTAAGCAGTCACCAGATGTCACCACATCTCAGAAGACTCATAGGGAAGCAGCAGGCCAAGACACAGACACAGAAAATAAGGTTTCTATCATACATACACACACAGCTTCAGGTCCAAAGGTTAAGTCCAGAAAAGGCAACTCAGTCACCAGGACAACTTTACACATGCATGTTTAGGAGCTGAAGGACCTGGACTGGTCCCCTAAGGCAGTGCCTTCCAACTTTTCCATCTCAGCCACATGGCTGCTGCTCTCTCTTCTTTCCCACTTCTCATCCCAAGTCCTGTATCCTCATGACTCAAACACCCATACAGGAGCACTGCCTCTGAAGTCATCACCAGCCCCACTTCCCAGGCCTTTCTTCCACAAGTCTTGTGCAGCCCAAGTTTGCTCACCAGTTTGAGGCTGGGTGGAAGTGAAACTCTTTGTCATTGCACTATTATGCACACACAGCCTCAGTGCCAGATCTTGTAGCATCTTCTAAATTTGGTCTCTCATATTAAAACTTCCTCATTTCTCCTACAGACTTGGGTTCCGGCACTTACATTCCAAACCATCACTGTCGCCATCCTGGGCCTCCTTACATACAAAGCAGGACCTGGGAGAAGCATGTTCCGTCTTGTTTAAGGGCCTCCCTATCTTCCTGCCTCCTCTGCTGGTAACAGCTGCCAGTGCTGTGCACATCTACACTCCACCCATCGGTACCCAATGAAATGCCAAGTGTTTGCCCTGACAGGCTATCAATGTGCACTAGCTACAGTCATGTTCCAGGGTCCTCATGTAGTAGACACACACAAACAAATAAAAGTAAAGAGCTTCAGTCCAAAAAAGTGATGTTGTGATGCTACATAACCTCTAGTGATGTCTGCAGGGCAAAGTGGCTCCCAGAACTTCCCAGCAGTCATGCATCAATCAGTAGTAACTGATTCCTTAGCTGTACAAGAGCACATAATTTCCTCCAGTAGCATGGGCTCACTGAGTGCCCACTGCACAGCACACTCACACAAGTCTGCTGACTCACACTCTTCCAGGGAGAGGAACCCAGGAGGAGGCTGTTCTACCAAATCAATTCAGGCAGGCTGCTCCAGGCATTTCCTTTCCTAAGGGACCTTCAGATACCAAGAACACTGTGCAGTCAGCTCAGAAAGAGAAAGCTAAAAGCCAGGCCGCAAAATGCACAAACAGTTCTTGGTAAACTCTAGGCCTGACAACTTTGATTGAAATCTTCACTTCCCTTTGAACAGAAGAGAGGTAGCAAAGAATGAGTGCAGGGGACAAAAGAAAAGAGTGGGAAGAAAAGAAATGAAGGAAAGTTTTGGTCTACCTACCCCACCGGAAGAAAAGAAATGAAGGAAAGTTTTGATCCACCTAATCCACTCCAAAACCAAGAACAAAATCCACTCCACATTGGAAACTCCTCCAAGATACCTTGATTTTCAGCAACATATACACAGGTAGCTATGACTGAGAGAGTAATGCACAAATGTTTTTAAGAGACTAGAGAAAAGCTGGAGACTGTGGTCCATTATATATTAGAACATAGCACAGCATCTCTCATCAACTAGTGGTACAGGGCAGGCTGGCACATTTGGAGCTGTACAGTACAGTGTGGGACTCCACTGCAGAGAACACTACTAGCACACCTCTAAAGCAGTTCACCCACTCTTTAGAAGGCTGGGACAAAAGAAAGTAAGGTTTAAAACACGAGGGATAGTGAAAATCACAGAACACTACTAGCACACCTCTAAAGCACTTCACCCACTCTTTAGAAGGCTGGAACAAAAGAAAGTAAGATTTAAAACAAGAGGTATAGTGAAAAACAGGGACAGAAATATGAACTTCAATAGGAACCTCAGGACACACAAAGCACACTCGTCATTAGGTACAAAAAAAGGAGGCCTTTCAAAACAGAGTAAGAAAATCACCTACCTTTCAACAGGGGCTGAAAAGTTGGAATTTCCTGGAGTTTTATGACATCGGGATCATTGCTGACATTCCGTGAGGACTGAGTTCCTGGAGCTACCACCACAATGTCATCCATTTTCGCTCGCTGCTTGGGTGGCAGTGGAGATGCTGGAAGGATATGGGAGGGAAAGGGAGCAATCCAATTAATAACCAGATTCCATCAGAACACTAAGCAAACGTTGCTCTATTTAACACAGCACAGTTATACTTCTTATAGAAAAAACACATTCCCAACATTCAGGCTCTAAGCTCTCTTTCACAATTGAGGAATAGGTGATTCTGAAACACCTGCACCATAGAATCATAGAATTTTAAGGGTTGGAATGGACCTTAGAGATCATCTAGTCCCAAGCCCTGCCCTGGGCAGGGACACCTCCCACCAGAGCAGGTTGCTCAAGGCTCAGCCAACCTGGCTGTGAACACTGCCAGGGTTGGGGCAGCCACAGCCTCCCTGGGCAACCTGGGACAGTGTCTCACCACCCTCACAGAGAAAAGCTTCTTCCTAATATCTCCCCTAAATCTCCCCTCCTTACATTAGGACCCGTTACCCCTCGTCCTGTCACTGC